CGGCTTTTTCTCTGTAATATACCTTAAAATTTTTTACAAATGAACTCAACAAAAGGTAGCTTTTTTTTTTCTTTTTAAATTAAAAAATATTGTAGCTGGTTAAATATTTATGTATTTAATTTTAATATTTGTTTTCAACTTGATTCAATTATTAACCATTACAAGACTTTTGTGCTCTAATTTACTGGTTTTTAATAATATTCCTCTTATATCATAATAAAACATTAATTAATATCTAAATATATCAAACTTTACATAAAATTTGAATTCAATATAAAAAAAAATCTATAAAACATCTTAAAAATTCATTCATAAAAAAATATATTATTTTTTTGAACCAGTGAAAAAGCGTTCTTACAGTATCAGGATTGTGTGTACACGCGCGTGAGGACAAGAAGGAGGTGACTGGATGATGACGACGAATTGTAATAAACACAAGTTGTACACTAATGAAAAATGTGATTGGTTAGGATTAAACAGCTTCATATTTTTATTTTATTTGGTCGACGTCGTCAATTTATACTACTAATAATTTACTTCTTTTTGTCTTGCTTTCAGGCAAGAAAATGTCATTTATTTACACAAATTTTTTTTTAAAAAGGGATGATGACTCATTAGCAGAATCGAGTGATTGTTTTATGTTTATGTCATATCTAATTATAAATTGATTATGATTTTCTTCCATATATTGGTAGGCAACCATATCTTGCTTACCGAGATAATTTAAATTATTAATGCAATAGCTCAGCCCTAAATCCCATGTTTTATAAGTTTTGGAAAAACATTAGTCTTGGGATCTGTTTATCTATTTCCGGAAAGAAAACTAACCAAACAATGACTTTGCCAATTCCAAGTAGAAAACAAGAGTAGGTATTCTTAAGGGTTTACAATATGCAATTGAATATATGGAATAGTAAATTTTGTTGTTTCAAAATTCAAATGATAAATCTAAAGAAAAACACTATTAATCAATGGATTATGTCAATATCAAATAATGAAATAATTAAGGATTAAAAAGAAATAGTTCAAAAAAAGAAGGATTAAAAAAGAAAACAGAGATAAAATGATAAGGTTAGACTAATCAAAAAGAAAATGATTTCATTCAAAATGGATCTTAAATCAAGATTTATCAAAAATATCGAAATCTACTACAAAAATCGATGAAGCAGCAACAGACCTTGATATTGTATTACAATATAATAGATGGAAAACATATTTCGTGTCACTGAAAGCTAAGTAAACGTGCCATGTCAAACTATATGAGCTTTAATTAGTATATATAAAAGACTTTTTTGTGTGTTTTTTTTTCCAATAAATATTTATATATGTAAAAGAAAAATGATGTAAAAACTAAAATCGAAAGAAAACATCAGATCTAAATCCGAAAAAAAAAATCTCAATCGCAAGAACAGAATCACATGATATGCAGATGATATGTTGTCATTTCATTGGACTTATCTTCTGAAAATAATTGAACATGTGCACGTTTGATCTGATCTCTTTGTTGATTCTCCGCTTCTAACGACATATATCTTCAATCCCACATGGTTTAATTGTTTTTTTTCTTTCTAAAGTATATCAAATACACAAGAGATGAAGATAATGCTCACAAACATTTGCATTCATGATAACACCAGTCACTGTCAAATTTGATGCATGACTAGGAAAATTTAGATAGCTCCAGGATGATATTTCATATTAATCATTGATTCAATGTACTGTTTTTATCTTCTTTTTGTGTGTGTGATTCAATTATCTTGTTACGACTCTTATCAACATACTGTCCTACATTTTCTCTTCTAATCCTGATTTTTTGTTTGTGACATAAATTACGAACAATCATAATGATGTTATTATGTGTCTATGGTACGAAGGTAGATAGATTTGGAGAGAAGGTTACTTACATAAGAGGAGGAATCTAAGAAAACTGAAATGGACTATGAATAATGTCGGACGCATCAACCACTCGTCTCTTTGGTTGGTACACTAATTTGTAAAATATGATAGTATTTATGATTTTTTAAGCTGTTTTTTTGAGTTTTTGACTATTGTCTATTCTCAAGTTACTTCCAAAAAGTGTTGGTATCGACCCAACCTATTTAGCCCAACCTTAAATCCATAAGAGATCTGACTGATCGATCATAACCAAATCGACCGGTCTCATGGTGTGGATCATAACTCCATTGCCTTAAGAAGATCCAAATCGATCGGTTCACGGAACTCGTGATTTACGTGTCAAGACAATTCTTTTTAAAGCAATTTGTACCGGAAACCAATTAATTTCCAAAAATAATTTACGAATTAACATGATTTAATTTACCTAAAATCACATCCTATGTTGAAAATTTAGAAGGCTAAAAACTTTGATTTCGCAATTTTAAAATTCACAAACCAGTTGTCTTCTCGTTTAACCGTAGGCAGTCAAACTATACAAAGAATCCTAATTCACAACTTCTTAAGATTATAATCAACTCTCTCAAGACATTCCATAATCTTAATTAGTACTTTATCCCTTCGGTTAAATATCCTCATTTACAATTTCGAACCTTATCGATTTATATCAAAATCAAACAACACCGCATATATACATAATACGACTTTAGATTATACGATC